ATTCTTTAGATGTTCTTCAATTTAGGTATGTGTAGATACCTTTTTTTTTGTTGCAAATTGACATGGTCAACAATATATCTTTTTATTGCTTTAATTTCCTTCGATTTGTTTTGTGGATCCTAATTTTGCTTTTTTTTATCCAAGAAGATAAGTCACGCTCGGAAACATTTGCGGTGGACTTAAAGTTGTATTTGGCTTAGCTTAAGTGTCATGGCTAGGTAAGAAAGTCCTATTATTTTACAACACACGATTTTACAGATTTATTCTTGACATTTAGGATTTAGTTTTACCATATATGTAATGCTTAAATGATTATATATTTGAAGATCTAACAAATTTTATTTTTAGGAATTCAAATGTTCCATCCAAGGAATGGATGGATTTACCAAGGTATAGCAAAGAGTATATCGAGGGTGTTCAATCTTTCTTAGATTTTGCTTACTCTTATGGAGATCCTCAAGGCGAAGAAATTCAATGCCCATGTGCAAAGTGTTGTAATATTCGTTGGACTCGAAGGAATGTAGTGTATGACCATCTAATATGTTATGGGTTTGTTCAAGGTTATACAAGATGGATTAATCATGGGGAATGGGAAATTTCGATGAATGTTAATTGTGACATTGATGATAATGTTTACTCTTACGATGATATTGATGGGTTGTTGAATGATCAATTTAGAAATATTGCACATGCTGGAGGAGTGTATATTCTCTAGATTATCTTTTACAATCTGTCTGTATTTGTTGAAGTGTCTACATGGATGGAGCAATGCATCTTTCACTTCTCTTTTAGAGCTATTAAAAGAGGCGATGCCTGACTTGAACATTCCTATATCCTACAATAAAGCCAAATCTATGGTAAAGGATCTCGGTCTTGATTATGAAAAAATTGATGCATCTCCCAATGATTTCATGCTATTTAGGAATGACCATAAGGATGATGAATATTGTCATGTTTGTGGATCATCTCGATATATTAAATATCCTGAAGTAGATAGCGAGCTTGAGGCTTCCAAAAAAGGTTATCGTGTTCCAGCAAAAATTTTGAGACACTTTCCATTAATTCCTAGACTTAAAAGGCTATTTATATGCTCAAAGATAGCAGATACATTGAGGTGGCATGACGAGGAGCGTTCTAAAGATGGAAAGTTAAGGCATCCTGCTGATGGGAAAGCATGGAAAGACTTTGATAGCTTGCATTCATAATTTGCAAGGGATTCTCGCAATTTGGACTTGGCTTAGCAAGTGATGGGTTCAATCTATTTCGGACCATGAGCATATCTCATAGCACATGGCCAGTTATTTTAATGGTGTATAATTTGCCTCCTTGGATGTGCATGAAGCCAAAGTACTGTATGCTTTCTTTGCTTATACCTGGGCCACGATCACCTGGAAATGACAATGACGTTTATTTACAACCATTAATAGAAGAGTTAAATGTTTTGTGGGAGTCCGGGGTAGAAACATATGATGCTTCAAGAGATCAAACCTTTCAAATGCGAGCAGCTCTTTTATGGACAATCAGTGACTTTCCTGCATATGCTATGTTATCCGGTTGGAGTACAAAGGGAAAGTTGGCTTGCCCTTGTTGTAATTATGGCACTAATTCTCGTTATCTTAAACATAGTCGAAAAATGTGTTATATGGATCATCTTGTTTTTCTGCCTATGGATCATTGTTGGAGATCTAATAAAAGGTCTTTCAATGGAAAAATAGAATTTAGGCCTCCTCCGCCTTTGTTAAAGGGAACTAATGTGCTTAATAGCTTACAGATTTTTAACAATGTGTTTGGGAAGAAGCGAAAGAGAACAAATGATGGCCCTTGGAAAAATGGTCAATTTTTTTGAATTACCTTATTGGCAGCACAACACGTTACGTTATAACCTTGACGTAATGCATATAGAGAAAAATATAGTGGATAATGTAATTGGAACTATTTTGGACATTCCTGGCAAGACAAAGGATCATGCAAATGCTCGTTATGATCTGAAAGAGATGGGCATTAGGAAGAACCTTCAACCAAAGAATACAAAGGATGGCAAGAGAACAAAGTTTGCAAAAGCATGCTTCTCAAATAGTGGGTATCTCATTAATGGATATAGATTCCATGCGAGGCAGCGTGATGCAAGACGTAAAACACAAAATAGTGGTGTTACATTAGTCGCCCAAAAGTAAAAGTTTTGCAAAGCTCAAAAAGATAAAAAATCCAAGTTGACGCAAATTTGACTTATTATGGTAGAATAGTTGATATAGTTGAGTTAGACTATTATGGCTATTTTAGAGTTGTCTTATTTAAGCGACTGGTATGAGGTTGAAGAAGATATTTATGGCCTTACTAGTGTC